TAGCTCGGGAAAATTGAATATTATTTGTTCAATTATTTATAATGTAATATTATATATTAATAATCTTAAATCTGTTCGCGTTGCTTGAAATCCCTAAAAATGTTTGCACTTAAAATAAGATAAATATATGTTCGGGTATTGAAAAGAGAGAAAGCAAAAATGCTGACTACAAAAAGTGCAAATAATACGATCAGATTTTTTGTTATTGATATTAATGTTTGCAATATGAACACGATTTAAGCGTCTATGATATTTTTTCGATATAAACGGTAATACAATTTTATTTTTGACCTCTCGAATTCTTGGAAGAACGAAATGATTTCTTGTATGAGGATTGGAAATTTATTGGAACAAAAAAAAGCGGTGCTCGCGATTGTCATGCAAATATGATATCCGCTTGAGTCTCAGGAGATCGTTATCGAATTTGTATTTTCTTTTTCAGGAAGAAAAATGGCACCGGTTCTGGGCGTACCGCCTCCACCACCACCGGCTCCTCACATGGGACCAGACGGTCTGATCTTGCCGAGGAAACCATACAACCCTTGCCTTATCTCCATTAATCATAAGGATCTTCACAGGGAGTTACTCTTTAACCAAAAAATGTAAGTCGAGTTCCTTTAACATTTAAAATATGAAATTACTTTGCCCCTCCTGTTCTCACAGTTACTCCGAATTGTCAAAAAATGCCCTTTAATTAAAATTTTATAACATAACAGACAGATTTAAATCAACATAACGCAATAGAATGTATAGCATCAACATAGTTAAGCTACAATTTTATAATAAGGTTGAAAATAGTATTTCTACAAAAATATTGTATCTCTTTACAGCATAGAGATAAATTATAATTTCTTCAAGTTCAATAAAAACTTTTTATTCGATTTAAATAATGACGTGAACTAGAAATTGGAAACTTAAATTAGAAACGCTATCTCTCTCTCTCTCTTTCTCTCTCTGTTCTTTTTCTACTAGAATTACTGACAGAATTAATACCAAGATATTTTCTTTTCTTAACATCTTTTTTTATATAAAATTTCTCTTAATAAATTCATTATGTAAAGTTTCTCTGAATATATTTTATTTCATTAATTCTTCGACTGAATTCTTGACGAGAAGTTTTTTATTTAGGCAGACGGTTTCTTTTATTCCGTTCTGCGGTAAGGCCGGAACGCAAGAGAGAGATCCCCCCTAAAGTAAATACTGTATCGCTTTTCTCGTGCGTTTAAAATTAATTAATACTATTAATTAATACAAGGAGAGGTGATTAATACTCGCGATGAAAATGGAAAGCCGATTAGCCGCGTGTAAAAACTTCCTGATGAAAGCTGGTGCTATCGTAAAAACGAATTTATCTTTATTGTGCGTTAATCCGAGCGTGATCGAGTACCAGATCGTGCGAGTTCAAATTTCGCTTGATAAAACATTATTTCTCACGTGATTACGTATACTTATTTTCGATCGCGGTCAATTGTGATAGCATCAAATACGTTTCCACATTAAATCCCTGTTTATGTCTAATCAGTACGTGATCGCGCTCATACTCGGCGCACCACACCTGTGATTCTTCACGCTTCGATGGAATTAAGCGATTCACGCTTACCGACTTTTACCTTGGCACGTAATTCACGCCAATTCGCACGCGTGATTTCTTCACTTGCGATCAAGATTACAACGTAATCTTACGGCGCGTTCTTATTTATCCTGTAAAATGTATCTTTATTACTATGCGCGCGCAAAATCTTATTTTATTTATTTAAGAATTTCTTCCAAAATTTTTTTCACGTACTTCGTACATTCGATTTTATTTTTGATATTTGCATTTCTCTAAAATACTTCAATTTTTACACTCTGGAGATTATCGTTATTACATCAGTGAAAGCCGCTTTTTTTTTTAATCAAAAAGGATTGTCCCGGATTCATTAAATGTACGCTTCTCCTTTTTTCTGCAGCGGCAAGAACGTCTTGAACCAAAAAAGTGAGTTGCAACGTGCTCTGGAGAAACAGAGAGAAGCTGCGTCGAGGAGAGAAGCTGAGAGGATCCGTGAGGAAAGCTACAAAGACGATCCCAGGACTGCCTTGCAAAGGGCAATCGAGCAGAGAGCAAGACACATTCAACTAACGGTAATCCGAGATAGGGCGTAATTAGCTAATCCTTTACTTTGTGAAATTATTATATCGACATATTATATTTTTAGGTTTCGAATCCTGACATCTGAATCTTTACACTTCTAAATCCTCGAAAGAAACTATTCAGTTTTTATGCTTCTATTCTTCACAATTTACTGGAATCCTAATCCTTCACTTTTAGAATTCTTAAACTTTAATGGGCTTTCTATAATAAGCTATCACCTAAGCTTTAAGTCTTAAGTTGTAAGAAATTGACCATAGTCGATTATATTTTTTTACATTCGATTACTGTGATTGGTCAATTTCTGATGGCTTAAGACTTAAAGTTTAGGTAATAGCTTATTATAGGAAACCAATGAATTCTAATCTTCAAGGATTATCAATCTTTTGACACCTAGAATCCTCAAATTCTGAATCCTAAATTTTCAAAGATTATCGATCATTTGACATCTTATGAAATTCGATCGAAATAACAGAAGATTGCATAAATATAAATAATTCTAATTCAAATATGCAACTTATGATCAAGCTAAACTCGGTTTACGCTGATTTCTTTATTAAATAATTTTTTTGTAGCAGGAGCAATCGCGAGCGACGACAGAACCGCCGAGCAACCTTCTGATAACGGCAAGAGCGAAGCTGAGGCCGCGCACCGAGTCCCAGTGAAATCGGCGAAGATCGAAGGTCGCGCAAACCGATGTCGCGCCTGGGTGAAGAGGACGATCCGCTCGAATGGGCGGCTCGTAATTTCACCCTTCAGCGCCTTATCGATTGCAATCAGTGTACATATGCATAACCCGATAAGATTTCCTTGACACAAGGATTATTAACGGCGTCATTTGGCGCGTCGAAAGACGCGTATTATAACAGGCGTTAGGTCTTAATATTAGGCGTTAAGATAACATGATGGAATGTAACGAGCGCGCATTTGATTGCTATCACGAGCAGGATCGCTGGGGATCTATCTCGAGGAACATTTCGTGGATGTTTATCGCGCCACATCGCCGCGCCAATCCGTCGTCAAATCATTCCCAAACAACACAAAGAACCAAAATGGCATCGTGTCTCGAAAATTAAAGACTATCTTTATGACGCGTCAGTTTAGACGCCATAATTTATAGTGTTGTGTGCGTATTGCCCCGGATCAAGTGGTTCTCATAAAACGCATATCGGGTATCTCAGTGTACAATACAATCAACAACCAACCACGTGTCTTCGTTTAATAGTAGATCAGTCGAGCTTAGTATGCGTTTGACGACCAATTAGTATGTCAACACGATAACGTTATTATATGCGGTAATCGCGGTAATCCAATTATATTGTACGTGCTAACGTTGACTCGAATACAATAATCGACGTATTTTTTCTTACGAGGACGGAGATTTCGTCGCGAATGCATCAGCGACGGGATAGCACAGTAGGACAGACAATAGATAGTAGTTGTAGATTAACGGCGAGATAACGCGAAAGAATTTAATTGTGGATGATGTTTGCCGATTATTGAAATGGGAAATTGTCTCTGCTCTGAGCCTTTGATCTTAAACGATATTAAATTTTTTTTTAATTTGAGAAATAATTCAAATTATGTCATAAAAATCGCCAGTGACGGATATTTGCAAGGATCGTTGTCGAAACATTTGTCTACACACTGATAATAAAATCTATCGTTTCGTTACAGATAAATGATATTCGTTTTGCACCGCGTTTAGGATTAATCGTTCGAGCACGAGTCATGAATCGCGGATGCCCGAATATCCGCGATACGTATCCACGTCTTTGTACGAGTTCTCTTCGTGTTGAAGGCGAGAATCCTTTTCCTTCTCTCCAGAAAATCACGACGATGTTTTCCATAATCTTCGACGCGATTTCGGGCACGTAGATAGAATATATTTTGTACGAAGCTTAGATGGTGGTATTACTTCGTTTTCATTTTCTTAAATCATGAAATAAATAAACTCATTCACGATAAACGTAGAAACGATTCCGTGAAGCTAACGTGCAACTAATCACATGGTTCATTGTTAAAATTATCGATTTGTCGCGATGACTTCTGGATACAATAAGCAGCTATGAACAGCTATTAACTGGAGCTTAACATTATTTTCAAGTAATCTCTGAGAATTGACCGACAAAATTATATCGTTACGATTACATGAAAGTGATGCCACCTGAAAGTAAAAGTAGTTTCCGCTAGGAGACAAGAGACGAATAAAGTCAGGACTCCGCGGGACCATGTGTTCTTGTACTTCGTTACACGGCAGTAAGACAAATCTGACATCTGCCTTGCATAGCAATTATTATTAATCGTATTTAAGTATCGACATTAAATTTAACTATATTTTGTGGCTCATTACATTTGACGAATCTTACAAAGGTGCGCAGCATCATTAGATCGAAAATAATATAAACCGTTAAGTTTGTTACAACTTTAATTTATCAAGCGATCCACACAAAGCTCTTATAATATATAACTCGCATTTAAGAAAATATACCCGTATATCCAACCAATAGAGGAGCCACAAACGGAAGATACTTTCGTTTTCTTTTTGTACAGTTGTATGTACACATGTATGTATATGCTAATTTACGTTTGTCATATTTAGTTTAACATAAATTTAATCAAGATATTCAGGATCTTGAGAGAGATCATCACAATGATAAAATCTCGGATTCCAAATATATTTTATTCAACACTAAACATCAACCCCGTCATTTCCATTCCAACGTGTAAGGAACCAGTAATAAAGTGGATAAAAAAACATTGCGAGAAATATAACAGCGAAGACCCTTTTCTCGAAGTATATATATATATATATATATATATTAGAAATAAAAAAAAATTAAAAATATGAAGAAGACACATTTAAACGACACGCATGGAAACACTTGTTTTAAATTGTTGTTGGTATATACGGTACTTTTATCATCTATGTCGAATCTTGCTACTTGGTACCTTTTTGCGATTGAGAAAAAACCGAAGTTACGGATAGTACACTCAGAAATGTCGTTACTAACGTATTACAATGATTATTTTTCGCATCAAATACTGCAGAGTGTTCGATGCTTCGACAATGATGTTACATCGAGATTAAAATACATCTTGACATCCGATAATAATTCATGTAAAACAACGGCTGCACTTTAATAGTCGTCACCGCGAGAAATGACTTCTTTACATGTGGGACGCAGAACGAGTGTATGCTCAAACTGAGCAGTGTAACAGCCCTTGACGTCGACCAACGGTGGATACGCTTCTACGGCGCCTTTTTCGCAAAGATCCTTCAGCGCCATTTGGTATTTGGTACAACCGACGCGGTCCAACCAACGTTTACAAAAAGCCAAAGTACCTAAAACACGAATAAAATGAAGAGTATTCGAATTCTTAGATCTGTTGTTGAGTAAAGCTTTTTTAAACTAAGCATCTTTAGGCTTCTCACCGAAATGCTTGTTAATAGTGTTGAGAAGAGACTTGCTGCTCTGCAATCTCAATGGCACGAAACCAGCATCAAAACTCTTCATGTAATGTGAACATTCCATGTCATCGTGAACCACGCCTCTACCAGTAGATCCAAAAGTTTCGATCGCATAGAACTCGTTCTCTTCCATTCGGATTGCTTCGCCACCTCTAACTATTGGTACCGTTTTTCCGGCGTGTATACGGTAAGGTGAAATCGAATGGCCATTCAGATTTCTAATTGATTTCACCTGCAAAAGATTCAATTAAATGATTATTGAATGATTATTTAATGATTAAACATCATTCTTATCACTATCTTTAACTATTTTTTTTTTCATATATTTTCGTAATTTAATGTCGAATCAAAGTTTAAGCACTTATGAATTAGAAATGTCATGTATTTCTAAAGCTCAGTTAGTTAATATCAACTAATATTTGCCATCAAAGATAGTCACATTATATTCTTATAAAATATTTTGTGCTGTTCAAAGATAACTAGATAACCATAAATCAAGAGAAAAAAACATTAATTAAACCAAAAGAAATTACACTTTGCACATAATATTCTATATTTCATACCTGATACGTTTTGCCATCCAATTCTACCTCGTATGATTCCATAACTTCTTGAATAGCAGCACCAACATCGCACAATTGTACATCGATACCAGCGGCCTTGATACCGGTATTGGTGGCGTCGCGAACAGCCTCAATCAGCGGGTCGTACTTGGGATTGAAAATCAAAGTGAACGCACAATCAATGATTCGCCCATTAATGTGAGTACCAAAGTCGATCTTGGTGACGTCATCGAATTCGAGAACAGTTGGATCACCGGCGTTCGGAGTGTAGTGAGCCGCGCAATGATTGCGGGAACAACCAGTCGGGAACGCCAATCCAGCCAGGAGACCATCCTCTCCTATCAATTTCCGAGCAGTTTCCTCCAGCTCGTTACAAATTTCTATCATAGTCATTCCCGGCTTGATCTGCGAAATTCATTAAAGAAATACATTTGCAAAACCGCGAGATTTCAAGTGTTTTCTAAAATATGCAAATGATACAATAGGTCTATTCTTTGTGACTGACTTATTATTCTAAATTCTTTAGAGTGGAATCTCACTTTGAAAAATGAAAATTGAGTTAGTCTTGAAAAAGAATGGCTCAATTTTGTATCTTTAAGAGTGAGATTTTATTCTTCAGAATGAGATTTACTTTAAAAATAATATAGTTTTAGAATACATTTTACATGAAATACATATATATTTGAAGTTTAGCAAAAGTGAGATAAAAATTTTAGAGCAATCCAGTGACTTATATACTGAAGCGCACCTTCTCTATACTAAACTATACTATAGGAAACTTTAACAGAGAAACGAAAGGCAAACAACATACTTGTTTTTCTGATTTTTCTCTAAAAACAGCATTTGTTAATCAGCGAGTCTCTGACGAAAAAAAAAACAGTATAATCTTTGCATCAAAGTCATTGTCTAGGATATCTTCGCTCTTTGATAATGTACTCCAATATATTATAGAGCTTAGTGCAATTCACACACACACACACAGTGTAGCAAAAAAGATTAAGCCTAATAACAGTAAATCATTATATTCTTGTTGTTTGCTAGTGGCAAACAGAAATAAAAGATTCTTACTACGTTACACTATACTGTTTACGTTTTATTTGCTGTATAAATGTCTTTATATTGTTTACGCAACAAATAAATACAATTCAATGTTTATTCTAAAAATTCATGTAACTTTAAGAATTAAACATGCCTTCTCGCAGTAACATAAACTTATATACCCAGTCCATGATGTGCCTCCTGGTTTGCCGATGCGCCTCGGCTGCCTGTCTGGCTTCATTATAAATATCATTATGCATTCTGTCGAGAGCGCGCGCCTCCTCGCTCGTAAAGCGCAATTTGGCCATCCTGTCGTCTACCCCGGCGGGTCCGTGAACCATTATTTGTCCCACTGGAAAATTACCATCCGGGAACAATTCCGACACAGGAATACTCGGTGGATCCGTTTGCTGCTTAACCCCACCCTTATCTTTGGGTTTACGCTTCTTCTTTTTCTTCTTTTTGACTTCTTCAGTTTCACCATTGTTCTCTGTCACCTCTGTGGTACCTACAAATTTCAACCAAATAATTTATCATCATTGTGATATGAATATTTATCAAGAGCCATTTAATGTTAAATTTCAGCTTATCGTCATTATAAAAATATAGAAGAATTAGAGATTATTGACAATACCTTCGGCCACTGCATTGTCATCCTTAGCTTTATCTTCTTCCCCTTCTGGCACATCTGCACTAGCTTCTCCAGCACCTGTACAAACATTTCCATTATCAATTATTTAATAGAGAATCAATAACACAATTTCTCTTTTATATACACACACACAAGAATCGTTTGAAAAGTTATAAACTTTATTATGAAAATGGCACTACTCGTCAAAACCATTTTGGTACTACAATTGAACATGCTTTGAAAGATACCTGTGAAAATTGTGGACACTTAGTTTGTTATTTGACAGTCATTTGTGCCAGTCGATGTCAATGTTTTTGTAAAAATGGAAAAATCGAATATCCCGCCTGCGTGTATTGCCTTTCAAATGCAAGAACTTAATCGTTGTCAGTTTGGCTTAGAGAACAGAGATTTTCATCACATCCGTAGAAGTCTATGCAGAGCAAGACGCCAACTATTATTTGAATGAGTCAAAGGAATGAGAATATCACTGGAAAAAGTGTATCAACTTAAAAGGAAACTATGTTGAAAAATAAAGCTAAATTTAATTGAAAAAATACTTGTTTCTATGTTAGATTCAAAACTTTTCAAACAACTCTTATATATGGCTTTAGATACATATACTTATATATAAATTTTGTGGAGTTTAAAATCTATAATTAGTATTCTTTCCGTAAGTTGCAATGTTCCAATATCATACAATTTGTTTCAAGTTCGTCATTTTCACATATTTAAGCTTAAGATTGTTCTTTATAGTTGAACACATAATTTTTGTGCTTAAGATGAAATATATATTTATTAAAGTTTAACAAAAAAAGAATGTAATTCAGAGAAATGTATAGGCAGCCGGAACACAGGTTTGTTTTTTATTTCCGCATTAAACTGCACTAGAACTCTCCTTGTTTTTGCCAAATATGCCCAAATATATACTTATTTTACTTTAAGTATAAAAAAGGTATATTAGTTGAATTATTAAAAAACAGATCTTAAATCTTTTATAATTGTATATAAAATTCAATAATAGGATCGATTCAATAATAGAATCATAGGATCGAATTTTCATCATTTAATACGATAATTATCCATGCACATAAACACGAAATGTTTCCACATCATCTTACATTCGAAGAAGCGATTCCCACAAGTCTTGAACTCAAGAGAAGAGTTTACATTACTCCATTTTAAATACCTTAATGATCAACAACGTAACGTACTCGCGCCATTTAGGTAGATTTAAACAAAATCTTATAATAGTTTACGAACATTTAGAAGAATAATTGAGTAAATCGTTCCGACAACTTCGTGGCCGGTTCTATCACGATGTGAATAGGAAATTCATTAAATCGTCAATTGGGGACCGCGTGTCACAAAAAATCGAGGTGTGACTCTTAATACGTTTGTCATTTAAGGACAATACTCGAACAAAACTTACCGGCTTTCTTCTTCTTTTTTTTCTTCTTCTTCTTCTTCGACGCCTCTGCTGCTCCGGTTTTGTCTTCTTCGTCGACGATTTCGTTCTTCTCCTCGTCCACGAGTTTCTCAGCGGATTTACCGACCTCGTCCAGCACGGCCGCCATTTTTGCAAATAACCATGAATAACGGCAAACCACAGAGCACAGAGGTCACAGAAAAATTTACAAACGACGTACCATGGACGTATGAATATCTGGACGGAGCGTAAAGCCAGCTTAAGCTGGTTCTACATTAGTTACAAACTGATCGCAATCGTTTGTTGTGACAGCCAATCTGAAGCTTGCATTTTGAAATCAACGCTTCATATTGGCTGTCGCAATAAATTTGCAATCAGCTTCCAACTAATGTAGAACCGACTTTAAGAGCGAGAGAAACGAATCAGCGCGGCGGAGAAGGGCAATCAGCCATCTTATCTGGCGACATTTTGGCGCTCTATTTGAAAATCGATATATGTATTATGATATTACTTGTATTTTCAGTGCATAAAAATAGGATTTTGTGTAAGGCAAAGTTAATTCAACGGTTGTATGAAATTAAAAATAATTTTATGTTTATATTAAAAGAAGTAATAAATATGTTTATACTTATTATTTCTTTTAATATAAACCACAAATTATTTTTTATTGCACATAGCCGTTAAATATTTATAAATCAAGTAATTAAAAAAGGAGTCGAGTTATTTTAATGTTAAACCAGAAATAATATAAAATTAAATTTCATATAATTGAACAAATATTTCGACCTATATACAAAGTCATAATTAACGTGCAATTTTAAACTAAAAAACCCGAACGAACCCAATTTATATTGTATGTATAAAAACCTAATAGTTAACCAATCTTTTAAATGTCTCTATAAAACGCTTGATTAATATTAAAAAACGTAAAGAATGTTTGGAAATTAAATACAAAATTTAATGCTTCCTCAATATCTCAGAAATAAAAAAAAAATATTATACATAATACGCAGTTATAGAATTCAAAGAAGGCATTAATATTATGAGAAGTAGGTTCGATTCGCCCCGACAAATGTATGATGTCTACGCCTGGACGATCGCTTTGCCGATATTCTCGCCGCGCAGCATGCCGATAAACGCCTCAAACATGTTCTTTCGCACTTAAAGTCTCATGATTAATTTGTTTCTTAATTTTTCTATAGCTTTTATTACTACAACTGATTGCAACATAATGTGGCACTGTTGATGTTTTATTTTAGAAAAATATAAAATTTTGTATGCGTAATATTAATTGCTTTCCATTTGCACACAAGTGAAACTGAGTCTGAAGTGAGCTATTTCATACTCAGATTAATAACGTCATTATTTGCTTAATTTGGCAAAAAGTTATCACATGTTAACACAGCAATCACATGTCAACAAAAGTTATCACACTTTAAGCGAGGAGTACAGACTCTTGCATAACACATAGCACATAAAGCATAAGAAATTTAAACAATTAGGGTTCTTTATTTCATGGAAAGAAAGGAAACGGAGGACTTTAATTGGTTTATTTTCTCATGCATTACTTGTTATGCACATTATGCAAAAGTTTGTGCTCCCCACTTTATACTTGCGTTTTATCTGTTACCATGGTGGAAATATAAAAAGTGTACTCTTGCGCATTTTGAACATAAAAAAAGTGATATTAATAAGAGAAGTGATATCCGCCATGTTGGTTATTTAAAATTAGCGCTGTCATTATATCATTATAACATTATGTTGAGTTCTTTTCTTTTGCAATTTTCGCAAAATGGTAGATGATTTTTCAACTCATTGTCAATTTAATCCGCTATATCTGCAGCTCACAAGACATTTTGCTAAATTTGGAACGCCCTATATATTGCAAGAGATCTTATGAGTATAATAACGACAAATTGTTCATAATTAATTACATGAAAGCTTAACGATACTGACGGTTTTTTAATTATACCCAGTGAGCAGAATAAATCAATGAATAAAATCGATGAATAAGACAACTTTAAAACATCTTTAAGAATTCTTTAAGAGAAATTTTTAATATATTTTTATTTAAAAAAAACTCTAAAAGAGATATTTCAGATATCTTGATCTAAATATGGGTTTTGTCTATTTATTTGGCAATCTTTAGAAATAAATATTTTGTTATATATTGCAAAAATTTCAAAATAGCAGAAAACTTTTAGACATAGTTTAATCCGCTCTACCTACCTACATGATGAAAATATCGAAAAGTTTGTGATACACCGTATATGCAATAAATGCATAATCTTTTTAAATTATACATTGCGCGCGTTTCCATGCATATACTGTTTAAAATAAAATATTCCAAGAAATATATTTTGCTGCATATATTTTACATACAGTCATATATACTTATATCTATACATATATTAAACATTTTTGGTACCATTTTTAACAATTTATATCATTATAATGAATTTTTATATTTTTACTTAAATTTTTTTACTTATTTATCCTTAAAACAAATATAAGTGCATAATAGGAAATATATTCCTTCGTCGACGAAGGAATTTCATTGTTATTACCACTTACGATGTACGTATTTCAAATATTATATTCTTGCCATTGTCGTTATATAATTCTCCAAATTTAAATAATTTTAGAATGTAATCTAGTACACAATACAGCTCTTATTTAGTAGAAGTCTTATTCAGAGTCTTCTTCATATTCGTTTTCATCTTCGTTTTCACCTCCGTTATCAATTTCCTTTTCATCTTCGTCTTCATCTTCGTTATCATGATCGTTTTCTTCCGAATCTTCGTTCTGAGACATACTCGTACCTCCATCGATCATATCACTGGCCAACTCAGAAGCTAAGTTTTTAGCTGCAACACATAATCTTTGAGAATATTTTCTAATACACTTTTCATAACATAGTGGGACTAAACTAAAATTTATAAATTTTACATAGTTTTTAGAATTTTTAATATACTAATTAATAAACAACTAATTAAATGACAAATCGTGTTTTGATTCACTTTTATCACATTCTTTATTCTGACTATTTGGAAAATAGAAAATCATTTTCGTTAAAATCAGTTTTAGCAACAATTTGACGTCACATGATACCAGATGAATTAGTTGTTGTGTTATATAGTTCAGAGATTTGCTAAGTTAAAGTTGTCCGTTAATTTATTAAATTGTTAAGAAAATGCAAGCTTATAATACCGTATAAATACAGTGTCAAAACATTTCTAAACCAACAAATTTAATTGTCACAGTTTGAGAATTCGCCCGCTAGCGTTGACTTTTCCGTTTTCTTTTTCTTTATTTTCCATAGATTCATTCGATGATTGTGTGAACACATTTAATGAGTTTATGGTTTCATTTGATGTATGTATATTTCATATATTTATTATATATACATGTAAATGTAAACCTTAAACAATCTAGCTGGATCTTAAATGCTTTTATGATTCTGTGTGAATTTATATACTACGTTTGTAATCCTTTGAAATGCGCATTAAAATAATTTTTTGGTTTAAAACGCTAACTCTGCTAAACTACCGCAGTAATATCACGAGTTAAATTAGCTGTCAATTTAACAAATTTTTAATGCTTTATCGCATCTTCGAAACGATCTTAAGCCTCAGGTTCGAGCCAAAGTAATATTTTTCACAATAAGAATTAATTATTTACAGATTTTAATATGTTATTCAACATTATTAAGATCGGTTCAAAGATGTAAAAAAACAACAAAAATTTGTTAAATTGCTAGTCACTTTAACTTGTGATATTAAGTTGTGATAGTTTAATAGAGTTAGCATTTCAACACCAAGAAATCATTTTGGCACGCGTTACAAAAGACTACATAAATACTATATAAATTCGCACAGAATCATACAAGCATTTAAGATCCAGCTAAACCGTTTAAGGTTTTGATTTCTATAGTTTTTCTATTGTTATCAACACACAAATATACGGTCCTATAATATGTTATATTACTTAAATGTTTGGATATATAATATATTTTTGATACTTTTGTCAACAATTTATATCATTATCAACAATTTTTATGCTAATACTTAAAACAAATATAAGTGCATAATAGAAAATATATTCATTTATTGACAAAAGGAGTTTTATTGTTATTAACACTTGCGATGTACGAGTATTTCAAGTATATTCTTGCCATTGTTTATATAATTTGCAAAGTTTGAATAATTTTAGGATGTAATCTATAACTCAATACGATCCTTCTTTACTCCAATTTTTACTTACCATCATCGAGTACACTTTTACGTTCCATATCTCCTCCTTCGTTTCCTGCAACAGCATTACACATAATCATTGAACTTTTTTTTTCGTAATATACCTTTTATAGCATCGTATAATGGGCCTAAACTGAAATTTATGAGTTTTATGAAGTCCATCCATAAAATTTTGCAAATATTTACTAAATTTTGTAAATATTTACTAATTCATTAAATGATAAATCGTGTTATGGTTCGATCACTTTTATCACATTCTTTCTCCGGGCTATTCAGAAAATAGGTTAGAAAATAATTTTCATGATTTTTAATAACAATTCGACGACATACGATACCAGTTGAGTTAGTTCCTGTTCTATGTAATTATTAACAGGTTTGCTAAATCCGTTAATTTATTAAATTATTGGGAAAAAATGCATATATGATTCCAAATACGGTATCAAAAAATTTCCAAACCAATGAATTTAAATGTCACAATTTGATAATTCGCTCACAAGCGCTGACTTTTTTGTGTCTTCTGACACCTTCTTCTACATTATTCGATATTATTTATTCGATGACAGCGTAAACATTCAATGAGTCTGTGAATGTATTTAATGATTATAAAAAAATGTCAAATACGCATTTATCGTACATAATTATGATTTAAAATATAATTAATAATAATCTTGTATATGAAATATATGAATTTCCTGATCAAAACAAATCTGAAAAATTTTCTATGTAGAAGTTTATTTTATTGAAATACCCTTTTACAAAATATTCTTTGTTAATGAAATGTATAGGAATAATAAAGATTATTAAGGCAAGTGAGAATAAACTATGTATGTAGAGCGCATTCAATATAACATATTATTCATCAATTAATATGTTACATTTTTTTAAGAATAATTTTGTCACAAGTCATTATATCGTATTATATAATACTTGACGGAAACATAAACTTATAATTTTACTTTTACACATATTTCCATGCAACATTAAACTGAGACATGGAACAAAATAGTTTATGTTACAATATTTATTCGCAATTAAACATACAATAAAAGCAGGATTTATAAAACGATGTGAAAAGATTTGTAAGTGTCCTGCAAAAATTTTTATAGAAGAAGAAATAAACAAAAAACGTAGAAATAAGTAAAAACCGAATGAAATGTTAGGTAAGAAATGTTTTATAAAATTATAAAGATTGTCAAAGTTATATTATGCTTATTCTAATTTTATCAAAAGCAATATCATTATTGCGCAATAAAATTATTTTATAAATGGTGAAAATAAAAAAAATAAAAAAATACAACTTTTCTTTTTATTTCTAAATATCATTTAACCGATATCTCATAAACATCTGCTGAGTATTGAAGCGTGTTTATCTAATAATATTTCTTTCAGAAATTTGACTCGTTATTTAAAATATCGCCAATTGAAAATGTTTGAAAAACGTTGGTTGAAGATACACGTCACAATAATGTACCTTATTGTTAGTAACTATATTAATATTATTATTATTATCATATATTCCTATTGTTTTATTTTATATCTGATTTGAATGGCATGTATATCAGGTTATGAGAGAAAAATGGATGTACACAAAACAATAATTTATTTTTTTAAACTTACCATCTGACTCTTGAGCCAGAATACAGACTACGGCAAATGCCAAGATCAGCAAGTGTAAAATCTTATAACCCATGTTTTTATCGAGTGTTATTGACAGTAGAAACTCAAACGGCTACTGTGCTAATGGAATTTATGTTGCTTATTTGGCGTATTTATAAGAAAAAGCTCCGATAATTATAATGCGAAATAATTACTAGTTATGTTATCTATCGGTCGTGTAGGTATGTGTGACTTATGTGTGTTCTCGCATATTTACTCATTTTATATAAAAATTTATTCGCAATTTTATAATTTACTTTCCTATATATAAATAAAATTTTAAATCCGGTAAAGCAATGTCGTGAATACGCGGCAAAAGATTGAATATAAAGTGTTCAAATTATAATGCACTAGGTTAAAACAAGTTCAAAATTTTTAATTTTCTCTTTAATAAAAATTTATAACTCTGATAATTTTATAGTAGTTGTGATTGTAACAATAGCGCTAATTTTAACGGATTATTTCTGATTATCAATAAGAGGGTGAAAACGTTTCTTTCGCATATTTACTCCAATAATCTTATCACGAAAGTGTGTTACGAATATAAATGAGTTTTATTAAATTTTTATCATTATTTCCATTTGAAAGTCGAGGAATGTTAAGAATAATTTTTACATATGCAACATACATTGAGTAATATTATTTCTGACTCGCTCTTATCATCCATTTGTTACGTGTATTACGCTGCAATATTTAATTTTTTGTTTTTTCTTGATAATGACAGATAAAGAAAATACAAAAGACAATGCCATGTTGAATAAGAACATTTTCTTGTACGTGGAACGTTACATTACTTTATCACTTTATGATAAGACTTTAAAAATGAGCATGAATTTTGTATAAGAAAACTTAGAAAATTTTCCATTTTCGTACCAATTCATTTTTTAAATTTTATTTAAAAAATAAAATCAGAACTGTTAGAATAATTTTAAATGTTTCTTGATAGAACACTTTTTTAAAATATGGTCTGTCAAAATTAATTACAAATTTTGCAGATTATTAGAGATATACTTAACTTTAAAAATTTCTGCGCAATTTATACACAAAATTTTTTCATACGTACATTTCATACATAAAATATGCTTATTGGAAATTTCTTTTCTACGAAAGTTGTATTCGACAGAAGTCGCAAATTATATTATATAATTTTGATGAATTTTTTCGCGTATTCCATTATAGACTCATAGTTTAAGGAAGTAAAAACAATTAGTTTGTAAGTTGGTTTTGGATAAAGGGTATTTATTATGCATATTATATCTAAGAATTGAAAGAACATATTTTTTTATAAACATTGAATTTTTGTTCTACAAAATATAAAAAAATTGTGTTTCAGAGAGTTAAAATAATATTGTGGGTGGTTCGCACCCAGTCAACAAAAGGTTAATCTAAGTTCAACTAACATTTTATTTCTTTCTGATTCTAAAAATAAGAAAAAAATGAAGATTAAATTAAGAACCGAGATATGGTTCGTCTATATTGGTAAAAATATAGACATTGTGAATGTTATTACGTTTCTGTTTGTCCGATAATCATGCATGGAAACATGAATTTGATTTTTAGATATATCTTTTTATGAAAATGATGAAATAAATACAAGCAGAAAGAGTTACATTATTTAATACGTATAATTAAGAATTTTGTTTTGTTTAACATAATATGTTTCCTATAATTGTGCCTTTAACGCTCCGTTAAAATGTAGTTTGGTCCATAAATTAAATAAATAATAAACCAAAGATTTATTCTTGAAGATATTTTCCTTTTATTATTATTATTTATATTTCAATAATTAATGATTTCTCTACGATAGTTGTTTTTATTAAAAAAATATTTGTGGAACGAATTTCGTGCATAATTGAAAAAATATTTTTATACACGTAATATTTATACTTGTGTAACAAATAGAAGCAATTTTGATATAAAGTTATAAACACTTTGAGCGTGAAAATCGCCGTGGCTGGATATTATTAGCTCTGATTTCATTTGATTACATGCAATACTAACGGACCGAAGAGTCGATAAAAAAATCGTCACAGATGCATATTGCTCTTTTGTCAGGTCTGCTTTTATTATTACGATCTGTTGCGGCAGTCGTATTAATTCATTGTCACTTATCGTCTATACGAGTACATTCCAGTTTTATTATAGTCGCATAATATAACATTATAAAGGTAGTTTAAACGTATGCATCATATCGATAGATAGTTTTGGTGAGTATACTGTTATTAAAAAAAATACTGCTTATGTTTCTTACGTCATCACATGCAAAAGTATGTGTGTTCGATGGCAATAAGCCTCATGGTAATAATATGTTAACGTACGATAAGAGACATCATTACGGAATTTACCAAAAGTATTGCAATTTGGACTGCACGTGTGGAACCGAGTGGAACTTTTAGTATTACTTATATAATACTAGAAAAAGTTATACTTGCCGAAATCGATTAGAAATATTCTCTTACATCTTTGCAAGTGCTATTTACATACGTCAAATGCAACTAAAAGGAAAGGAAAAATCTGAATTGGTATGCTGTGTAAAAAACGACTTTGTCTAAATTAAAGTTACATTTTAAAAGCAAGTTATATTATCATGTAATATCGTTTAAGTAAGTGATATAAATTTGGATGCACTATATCGCTTTTGTTTTGCCAATCTTTATTCAAAGTAAAGAAATTGATAAATCGATTTTTTTTAAATAAAAGCATACATTGAAAATTTTAGGCTAGTTTCACCTTTCGATAAATTTCAATTTACTCGCGCTCTCGCTTTCACCCTTGTTCTCTATTTCTTGTCCACTCTATCTTTTGTTCATTAGACAAATTACACAATTTATACAAAGGTGAAACAACCAGTCCTATATAGATATTTTAGATTCAAATTATAACAATTAGAAAAGTTTATTTTATAAATTTATAAATTTTCGTCAGGATATTTTTACGAATTTAATGTCTCTTGTTGTACTTGATTACATTTGATGTTCACATAATTATAAAACTGCATGTTCCATTATAGTTTATTTATCATTTAATATTTTTATCAAAAAAATGCATTATATTTCGATCGTTTTTTGAACTGTTCTGTTAAATAATGTCGAAAATACAATGTTTTATTGACGAGTCATCAAAAATATCGAGTTAAGTAATTATCGCAAATAACTAATCGCGAATATTATTGATAGCAATAATATTAAGAATCAGTATCGTTATTATTAAATATCAATATCAAAAACAATGCAATTTTCCTTTGTTAAACCAAGAAAACGCAAAAAAACTATTAAGTAGATCGATTGGACAATTTACAAATTAAATGAAGGGCGTGCAATTTCTATCACAAATTTACGTTTTTTATTATTCAAAAAAAATACTTTGTCCTGATTGTTAATGCGAGCGGAAAGTTCAGAACCTGATTTATGATCCTTGCGTATTCAAAGTATTTTGTTTAAATATCGATGAAATTGTTTACATTATCGTGTATTTAGATTTTGCTTTCTTTGGTTCCGATATTTCGGTCAGGAACGCGAGCCATCTCGTTTGGAAAAGTCATATTAGCCAAACGCAAATGGCGTCCGCTTTCGATCAAAGAAGAATGTTTGATAAGTGTAAAGAAATATTTGGAGAAAATAAACTGCTCTTTCTTTCCTGAAGTAAGAAATTATTTTCCCGTGTATGAGACGCCGGATGTTACCTTTCGTTCATTGATGATCGGAAATTATTGATGACGATTCGCTAAGTGATGGCGGAGTAAATTCGCGAAATCGTAAAAAAAAACATTTAAATGATGGTGAGTACATTACAGAATTACGACACGTAGAAACAAAAATAAAAGCACCTTTATAATACAATTCTAGTGATAGCTATCTGATTGAGCGTATATAAAACTTGATCAGTTTAGCCATTGTTGAGAACTGTCTCTTCAAACCTGCCGCAATTTATCGACTTGCGTAAAGAAGCATGGCAGTGTCTCGCGTCATACTTTGCTTGTTTTAGCTTGTTTAGCACCGAGACACTACCGTGTCTCCAGATTACCACCGACGAGATATGCTTACACATCATAGATCGTCAACAATTTTTGTAAATTCTTTTTTCACACATAACAGATCCATAAAGTAAGAAAAAAATTTTCCATCTTCTTCGACTCGTAGTTTTCCATATATAAAAATTATCAAACTTACAGAAACTAAAAAAGAAATGTAGTAATAAATCTTTTGATAGTAGCAATTTCAAGCTTTAAAAGCTTTTTTTTTATTCAAATTTTATTCTATTCTCAGTAAAATTATTGTATACACAATTGTACGTACAATTTTGAACTAAAAAAACCGAACAAATCTAATTTATATGTATAAAAACCTAATAGTTCCGATCTTTTATCTATATAAAACGCTTGATTAATATACAAAAACGTAAAGAACGTTTGGAAATTAAACATAAAATTCAATGTTTTCTCAATATCTCAGAAATATAAAAAAACATTATACATAATACGCAGTTATAGAATTCAAAGAAGGCATTAATATTATGAGAAGTAGGTCCGGTTCGCCCCGATAAATATATGATGTCTACGCCTGGACAATCGCTTTGCCGATGTTCTCGCCACGCAACATGCCGATAAACGCCTCAAACATGTTCTCGAAACCTTTGGTCACAGTCTCACGGTAACGAAGTTTGCCCTCACGTAGCCATTGCAGATTCTGCATAATGCCTTCATTCCTTCGATCCATCCAACGTGTAACGAGGAAACCCTCCATTCTTAATTCACGTCTCGATAAAATAGGTTGCAGGATCGTACACTTTGGCAAAGATGAGCTGTCCGCATCGTAACTGGAGATGCTACCGCACACGGCTACTCGGCTAAACGGCTTCATCTGGTATATAACTGCGCTAGAGATATTTCCGCCAATCTGTAAAATTAATAAATATATATGGATTATTAAGGTCTCTATTCTGTAATTCTTCACGGTAGCGTCAATGTCGTTACATTGACGTTGCATAACTTTTTTATGTATACACTGTAAAAAATAAAATGTAAATTTTAACTTAAAGATGTATAGTAGACTTTCTGAGACATATAAAATGTTAAAATTTATACAAAAATGTTAATTTTAATATTTTTGCATGTCTCAAAAAGTCCCCTGTACGTCTTTGAGTTAAAATTAACATTTTATTTTTTACAGTGTAAAACCTACGCAATGACAATATAACGAAACCAACATTATTGTTAACAGTTATATAAGTAATCATAGGGCAGAACAATATTCTTTTCAGTTTTGGATTTTTAACTTTTTACTAAAGTAGAAATTCTTTTAAAAATAACTCAGATTTGTAACGTTACATTTCCCGAGATTTTTTGTGATATATTTTTGTCACACACACACACACACACACACACACACACACACACAATGTGTGAATTAGTAAATCAATTATTTTTCCTCTGCATCTATGTTTCTTTAAGGCTATATTGTTCCACTTTTTGGTAAACTTCAGCTCACTGTCTTACTCTTTTACTCTTTTATGCTTATTCTTTTACTCTTTTGTTTGTCCAATAGATAAATTATCACATAGTTTATCTGAAAATGGAACAACTGACTCTAAGGCATATAATAACAAAGATATATGTAACGTTTCGCGTCAAACGGGCCACCTCTCCTTCCAAAATTTGAGGCAACGGAAAGAAACGTTTAAGGTCTTACACGTATATATGCATATATTTAATAAGTATCTAAAAATTAGTTGTCAGTAATTCTGTAACATTAACAGAATTTGATTTAGCATAAAGAAAAGTTACAGCAAAGTGTTTATCGTTGATATTTTTGAAAAGAAAAATTCCATCAAGAGTTATAGAAGGAAATAAAAGATATCATTTGAAAACACATCAAGAGTTATTGAAGGAGATAAAAGATGTCATTTGAAAACAATGATCTATACGTGTATTGAATTACTAAAAAAAAACTATTATGTCCAACAGAGAATGCAGCTTTGCAACTGTTGCAAAATTTTGCAATACGATTGGCGCTTGCTTTAGATTTCTTATAGATCTAAATGTACAAATCAATCATATTGAAGAATTTTACAACTGTTGCAAAGCTGCTTTCTCTGCTGAACACAGCCAATATTTCATAGAATTCGTACATTATCGAAATAGCAATTCACGCCTTGCGGAGCAACTTCGCGCAATTTGACTGCGACTGGCATGGTCTTGTAATTGATGGCGGAATCGAAACCCATTTCCTCAGTAAGCCATTTGCATTTCTCTTCGGAGCCGCATATACCAATGACATTTAGGTCTAGATTCTTGGCAATCTGACCTACGTGCGAGCCGATCGCACCAGCGGCTCCGCTGACGACGATTGTTTCGCCAGATTTCGGTTTGCATATCTCCAGCAAACCGAAATATGCTGTGTTACTATTAACAAGAAAGAAAGAAAGAAAGAAAGAAATAAAGAAAGAAAGAAGAAAAAGAAAAGGAGGAGAGAGCCAGAGAAAGAGAAAGAGAGAGAGAGAGAGAGAGAGAGAGAGAGAGAGAGAGAGTTTTGTATAAATAATTTAAATTACTATATATTTTTTCTTGTTATTAACATCAGAAATAAATATTTATGTCTCAAAAAAAAAAAAAAATATCTTAGTCAGGAATTTCTACTTAATGCTAGTATCAGCTCGTGGTTTACATAATCTACATAATGCTCAAAGTAAAAATGCCGTCAGCCTTACCGCACATGTATCTTGTCTCGTAGCGTCTATAAAATTTTATGTATCTTTTGTTTGCGAGATGATAAATACATTAGCAAAGCGATCGAGTGAGCGCATTGGCAAAAATTCTTACCCCGGCATTCCTAGAATGCCAAGACAAAGGGATGACGGCAAATCACCTATGTCTGGCAAAAGGTACGGGTGTTCTTGGAACACTAAATCTCTGAATTTTGTATTGACAATCGTGTGAGTTCTCCACCCCATGTTTCCAACAATTCTCTTGCCAACTGGGAAAGCTGGATTTTTAGATTCTATAATCTTGGCGATTTGAGTGCCGAGCATCGTGATCCCGAGAGGATATCTTCTTACGTACGGTCTCATGTATGGGTCCACAGAAAAGTATTCAGCTTCCGCGAGGTATTCTAAAAGAAAAAAAGCTTTCATCGTAAAATAATTTATTATAACTGTGATAATATTACGTTCAAAGTTATGAGGAATGATTAAGAAGTAATGTATATAATTTGATGCTAAAATATTTCACATATATATTTCAAAAATTTTAAAAGTAAAAATGTGTTACAATAAATGCCTTGTGTTATTAGCATAGCATGGTGTAGCTAAAAAACAAATGACTCTATAAATAATTATTAGAATTCCTTATCTAACAGCGGAGATATTGAAACCCAGAGAGTTCCGTCTATATAAGATTTAACTTTAACCTTTAAACTCCCTAGAAAGCCATTATTGTGACTCTTGAGTTTGGATTAAAATACCACTACTTTGAATGGTATTTTAAATACTAAATGTATTAAACATATATGTATGTATGTATTAAAAAATAAAAATTATGTAGCGTATAAAAAATATATATTAAAAAGTATACAAAAAAATAAAAAAGTATAAAAATGTAAAAGAATATAAAACAAGAAAAAAAATAATTAAAAACCAAAATTAATGACAATAAAGAACTCTTTATATAAATAATAAATACAATCTAGGACAAGTTTAACATATAAGTTTATATTCAATAATCAAGAAATTTACAAATTTAAAGATATTATACACTAATCAATTATAAAATGTTCCGATCTTAAGATTAAGCCTCTTTAAATAAACGCATGATGTTACTACAATTAAATCAGTTTTCTTAGTTATGGAATTTAATGTATTATAGTATAACATCATTGCGTTTATTTGAAGAGGGTCTAATTTTAAAGCAAAAACATGTTATAATTGATTAGTATATAATATTTGCAACAATAAAATATAAATAATAATCCAGATAGAACTAATGAGAGTCATACGTTGTTGTAAGAGTGGAGAGATAAAAGAAACAGATAATCCTCAGGTGTTGCTGGCTATCTTTAATTTATTTTGAACGTTTCTGCTCCTTTTGGATTTTTCATCCTTAGCGAATACAAAATCAACAATCTTCTATTGAAAGCAAGTCACTTGCAGATTGCCAGAAATGCAACATACATTACACTCAATGGGAAACGATATAAAAACAAAGCTCAGAAATAACGATTCACATTTATTAAATTATCAACATTGAGTAAAAAATTACAGAAGTTCTGAGTTTCGTTTTTTATCGTTTTCCATTGAGTGTAATATATGCTGCATTTCTAGCAATCTCCAAATGACTTGCTTTCAATGGAAGATTGTTGATTTTGTATTCGCTGAGGATGACTCCAAAAGAAGCAGAAACGTTCTAAATAAATTGAAGATAACCAGCAATACCTGAGGATTAGCTGTTCCTCCTATCTCTTACAACAGCGCATGATTTTCATTAGCTCTATCTGGATTATAATTTATATTTTATTGTTTAAGATTGAGAGTCTTTATTTATATTTTATATTTATATATTTATTTTAATTGTTTTAATATTTTGAAATTTGTAATTTTTTTATTCTTGAATATAAATTTATGTGTTAGGCTCTTACTTGCCCTAAATTGTATTTATTAATTATTTAAAAAACCAAATAAAAAATAAAATAAAATAGAAGCTACAAACTTTCCACATCGTTAGCTCTGTGTAATGCTTTGGATAAAGCAAAGTTCTGAGTCTATACGTTTATATTCATTTATGTTGTCTATATTGCGCTTAGGGCTCGAAATTTTATACATCTATGTTCGGAATTGAAATCAGATACCAAAAGCCCTCAAAATACAATATTTTTGAGAAAATAAACATTTTTTATATTTCATCATATGTTGCTTGCCGGAAAAGCCACTTTTGTAGCTCTGCACAAATCTCGAAATTTTTGTGTCGCGTGTATGTTACTTACATAGAAAAATTTTTGAGAAAAAAGAATTACTATTTTAATGAAAAAATGCTGACAGTCTAAAAGTTAATCTCGATTTAATTTATTTTTTGTCTTTTTCTTATAGTAAAAACTAGAAAAAAAATGATAAAATATTATACTGTGATTAATTTTACATTAGTGGAACCAAATCTAAGAGGGGTTATACCTATAAGAGCCACAATACTATTCAAGGAATACACCAAACCAAATCAAGAGAGAGTTAAAATGACTCTATTTTGACGTCATAAAAATCAAAATAATGATTTTTTTGTTACAAAATTTGACTGTTTATCGACATAAAAAATCAAAATAAAGTCTTTTTGATTTTTTGTTGACCTTTTTGTGTTCCTTGAATTCCTCTTCCTTTATATAATATATGAAACTTATAACAAATGAATTCTTTGTTTTTTAATTTTATGAAATTTTCATATGTCTTTCTAACTCATTTTTTTTAATATTCACAAAAAATACTGAAAGCGCATATTGGATAATCGCGCTTGTAATTATCTCGCTCATTTGTAATAATGAGCTCATCGATACGCTCATGGACAAAAAGTATTCTGACATTGTCAGTACTGAAAATTGTAGTTTATGTTACAAATATTATAGATTTTCAATATTGACGGTGTATATCGGATTAAGCTTAAATAGCTGGACATTTATGACGATTACGTCTTTTCTTTTTACCTCCATTTTGCAACGGCGGCAGCTCTTCTTCCATCAGTTTTAGATCCGTCGGCTTCGCTTCATTAACAAAATGATTTACTACCACATATTTCCTCGCCTTTACTATCTTGTGTGATTGCGACGAAAAATTTCGAATACAAACATTCCTCGGAACCGTCAATGCGATTTCACCACCGTTATCGCAAAGGGAACGAGCAATGATAGTCACGATGAAGCGACAGCGGTCCCACGATATCTCACGCTGCATTGATTTGAACATGATTATCTTTATATTTGCACACAAATCGTTTGAAATGCGCGATACGTAAGATAGATTGACACTAAAAAGTACGAGGTCTGTCCTAACGTATCCGACTTTTGCCTATATTATGAGAAAGAGCTATTTTGAAGTAATATAAACAACCTCGTCTTTAAAGTAGTTTTCGTTCGAAGAAATGACCTTCTGCTAACAGTTGCACCCACTTGCAAAAGCAATTCTGGAAGTCGTTTATTGTGATAGCCAAC